GTTTGACAAAAAAAAAAAAAAANTAATTTATTTATTATTATTATTATTATATTATATATTTAATAAAAAATTTAATATTTCGTTATATTATATATTTAATTTAATTAATTTATTTATTATTTTATTTAATATCTTTTTCACGAAATATAGAAAATAAATTTATTTAATTAATTTATTGTATTTTTCTTCTTTTTTTTTTTTTTTAATTAGTTTCGGCGTTTTTTTTTTTTTTTGTATGCAAGGATGCCTCTGCTCTCTCTTTTTTCTTTTTTGTTTTCTTTTGGTAACATTTCCAAGGGTTTTTATTATTATTATTATTTCTTGATTATTTTTCGTTACAATTTTCTATACATTTATTATAGGAGGGGTATCCTTTTCTGGATTTTTGATTTTTTACGATCGATCGAAGCACAGAAGCCGATATAATAATAATAATAATAATAATAATTACAATAATAATAATAATAATAATAATAATAAATTTATATATGTAATTTCGCGAGAACAGTCAAGTAATCTGTTTTTTTCTCTGTAAAACAGTTGAACAGTTCGTAACACGCATTACACGCATTCGGCACACATATCATACTGAAACACTCGCACGCATCACACACTTTATTCTCCTCCTCCTCCTCCTCCTCCTCCTCTTGCATTATTATTATTATTATTTTTAATTAGAATCAATGATGCAAGCATAACGCGTTGTGTCTAATTGTCTGTTTGACTTGTTTGTTTCTCCTCTCTGAGAAAAATGTCTAATTCTTTTACACGACACATGTTATTTTATGTTATATGTAGTTTTATTTCTATGTGTATGTATATCCAAATCCCTGCATGCATTAAACATTCGGATTACAAATGTACAAAATGTGTGAATTAGGATAGTTTAAGTATAATTACTATACTATACAAAAAATGGGTGTTTTTGTTGTTGTTATTGTTGTTGTTGTTGTTTGCCATTGCTAGAGTGGACTTTGCGGATCCGTCGCGTAGTTTCTTTTTATATATATATATATATATATATATATATTTTTTTTTTGTTTGATTTTTCTTTTCTTTCTTAGGGAGATGTACACTGTGAGGAATAGATTTATAATATTTTATTCTATATAATAATATATTGCCTAGATAATATTATTATCTTTATTAGTTTTAAGCAAAAGTCTTTCGTATTAGTGGGACTAATCGAACAAAGTTTTACACTTTGTACGTTTTTTTCTTGCGTACTTATGAAATATTATAATATTTTGTGAAAATGGAGAGATGAATGAAGAATATATGTGTGTTTTCTTTTTCTTTTTTTAAATATTTTTTTACTCGAATTTCGCCAATCTATTGTCGAATATAAATTTAATCTGATTTTTTTTTTTTTTTTTTATCATTATGGTGTATTATGGAACAAATCTCTCAGATCGTATAATTATTACTAAAGTATTTATAGTTTTGTTATTACGCATTACGTCACGTTATTTAAAAAAAAAAAAAAAATAAAATACATTTGATGTATGTGAATTTACTTTAAATTTGACGAATATGAAAAAAAAAAAAAAAAAAAGAAAAGAAAATGATTTAAATGCCGAACATATTACAACAATAATTTCCTTTGATTAAATTAAATTATTTTCCTTAATTCATCCTTTTATTTCCTAATTAATTGAATTAGTTTCCTTTGCATTAAAAATACAAAATGTTTTTGTTCGTTCTATTTTCAAGTAAACAAATAGAAAAACTTGTTATTATCAACTTTCATCTTGAGATGAAGCACATGGCAGTATTTTTTATGTGTGTACACGTGGTGATATGATTTAGGTTTGTTTTTTTTTCTTATTTTTTTTTTTTTTTTTTTAGGATATATTCGTGTCAAAGAAAATGGTTTTCTTTTTCTTTTTGTTTTTTGTTTTTTGTTTTTTCAAACAACGGATGACCAATATAAATGATAATTTTGGTTTTGATATGATCATTTTTACATTTGTGTTCTTAACATATTTATATATTTTTTTATTCGGTTTAATTAGATTAGTTTATTAATTGAAATAATAATATGATCGTTGAACAATTTGTACGCGTTTAACGATCCGCAATGCGTATTTATTATATACTGTTATAAATAAATAATATTATAGCGATTTCGAGTTTTAATTTAAAATGACGAAATTTCATTGAAATTCATACCACTTGATTATCGCAATTTTATTGGCAATCAATATGTTATAATTTTATAATAACCAAAAAAAAAAAAAAATAAAGACAAAAAGTAAATTTATATTTATATTTTACGGGACCCATGACCATATTTTTTTTTTTTTAAATAACATCGCGAATTCTTGTTCTCTTTAGCTTTCTTTTTTTTTTTTTATTAATTTTTATTTCTATTTTTATTTTTTTTTATATTTTTTACTCGACGCGAAACATTTCTTTCGAAATATTTGATTTATATTATATATTTTCAACGTCTAGTAATAACTTTTAAATTTAATCAACGATTATCGCATCTATTCGGTTTTGTGGATCTTTAGAAGACTCCCGAATGAAAAACCGAATCGCGATTATTATAATATAAATTGTGTTAACTTTGTCCTTTCTCACGTAATTTTTGTTCTTTTATTTTTATTCTTTTTTTTTTTCTTTTTAGCCATCGCAATTCCTTATTTGATCTTGCATTACGAAGAAAGAACATTTTGATAAAACGACCGAAGCAAATAATGTTTATTCTTTTCTTTTGTTTATTTATTTACTTTATTAATAGAACTTTGAATATATTTTATCTCTAACGATTTGGATAATAATATTTTGCAATTGGTATCAATGAAATTACGGTCAGGATCGCATTTATTGTAAGATGCATTTAATGTAAGATGCATTTTAGGCCTCACTTTTTATTCAGTCGCATTTTCAAATTGTATTTTAAATCAGAATAATGTTTTATTTTATTCATTTACATAAGTTTGCGAGTTATTTTTACTTTTGCAAAAATTTCGACAAGGAGTTAATTAATTAATGTTACGTTTAAAAATTAATATACGTACACAAATTTAAGAATACTATTGACAATTGTTTATTAAAAGGTTTTTTTATTTTTTTTTATTTTTATTCGTAATTTTGTAAAAAGTAAATTACTAATAGTAAAATATCTGTACTTTAAAAATATTATTAATTAGAAAATGCGACCAATATTTGACTAAATATGTTCACAAACGAATCTATTTGTTTATTCAATCGAAATAAATGAAAATCTGTACTTAAAAATAATTTT